GCAAGGAGTTTCTGTGTCTGACTTTGATGTTTCCAGCATTCTGTAAACCCCCAGTGCACATTGGGCTCCAGGAATTCACCCACCTTCCCTGTGTGCTTCCTGACAGTGGGCGATAGAATAAATGAATTGAAACAGTGAAAAAAAAAAAAAAAAAACAAATAAAGGCATTTAAATTTGTTACAATATGTACAATGCTAATTTAGGAAGAAAAGTTTGTATGACTCACTTAAATTTTCAGGTGTGACCATGAATTCTTCGACTTCATCATCGGAATCATCTATTAAGGGCATGAAGGCATATCTATAGGAAAAACAAGGAGCACTTTGACGGTCTGTTTAAACTCACTCAAATTTCTTTTTTGGATACCAGAAATCTTGTACCCCCGCCAGGTTTCTACCTCTGCTTCACTGTTGTGCATTTGCTGTGCTCTCTCTCTACTTGATAATACACAGCTTAAAGCAAAGACTGCTTCACCACAGTCTCTAGAAATGTGTTTTTGCCTGGAACGGTGGCACACATCTGTAATCCCAGCACTTGAGAGGCTGAGGCAGAAAGAATCGTTTTGAGTTCAAGGCCAGCCTGGGCTACACAGTGAGTTCAAGGCCAGCATGTACTACAGAGGAAGACCATGTCTCAAAAAAGAAAAACAGACAAAAGAGCAAGCTTCTAGGAAGCTGGCAGAGCTGCGCACAGCAGAGCACGAGCCTGAGATTCAGGGTCCAGACACTGGAGGAGGAGAAGGAAGGCAGTGGGCTCCTGGAGGCCAGGAAGGGTCAGAAGTGGGAACAGCAGCCCACAGGGATAGCAGAGATTTCAATGAAGAAGGCGGCGGCTGGCGGCACTTTCTCCGAGCCTGGACTCACGCTGCGGGAGGGGCGGCTCCAAACTGCGGGCGGACAGTGATTACTGGTGACCTCAGAGGCCTCCGTGGAGAAACGCAGCAGAGGTGCAGAGCAACGGAGGCAGCGGACGGCAGCAGCCCGTGAGTGGCTTGGATTCAGCTGTTCTGCAGGACGGGGGCCAACCGAGCCGGAACTCAGAACGGCTGACGGCTTTACCCAGCAGGTCCCATGGTCAGGGAAGGGAGCCGAGTTCAAGTCGGCAGGAAGTCAGGGATGAGCGCAGCCAGCAAGCCATGGTGAGCACCAGGACTGCTACAGGCTGGGTGGGTCTGCGTTCAGCCTCAACAGGCACCAGCCTAACTTCAGTGGGGCTACAGGTGCGGGCTCACTGGGATTATCCACTAGCCGCAGTAAAGCTACAGCTGGCTTGCCGGGATTAATCAAGTCAGAGCTGGACTCTGCCTACACTGTCTACCAGCAACAGCACAGACACACCTTGATGTGGATTCAAAACTCAAAAGCCACCTACCTCTCTAAGGAGCAGTAATTCCATAAGGGTTCTATTTTATTTTGATTATTTATTTATGTGTATTTTAGGGAAGGATCTATAGGGTGCTCAGGGTCTCACTACTAGATCAGGCTCACAGTGATCCTCCTGTTTACAGCCTCCCAAGAGCTGGGATTACAGGTGTGCCACCACACCCAGTCTCAATCGCCCGGAGGGGGCTGGCACACAAGGCAGGCCCGGGATCCAACCCCTCGCCCCTGCTCCTGCTTGCAGGCACTTTAATCCACTGAGCTATTTGGCCGGTCTTTCCCTAAGGGTTCTGAACACTAGCAATAAAGCTACTTATCATAGGCAACTTATAAATATCAACCCAAGAATTAAATGAGAGAGAGGGGAGAAGAAGGGAACAGAGGGAAAGGGAGGGGAGGGGAGGGGAGGGGAGGGGAAGAGAGAAGGGAAGGGAGGGGAGGGGAGGAAAAGAGAGGGGAGGGGAGATAGAGACTGGAACGTAAGCAAAGTGCAACTCCAGACTTCCAGCTCACCAAAGTCACGCCCAGGGGACAAGGAGGTGGAGCAACCCAAAAGCTGCCCACCTGGACTCCCTGAAGTGGTAACAGAAATAACAAAGCATATATGTGAGGTTCTAGAAAACATAAAGTCAGAAATAATTTCTCAGGTAACTACAGAGATGGTGACCATAATGAAAGACATGTTTAGTGACTCCACAGCAGACACAGATAAAGAAGTAGAGAGCACTACAAAACGATGGAAACCATAAACACCCAAGATGGCTAGCAGGAAATTAAAAATTTAATTGAAAGTATACACAGCAGAATGAGTCAATGTGAAGACAGACTCTCGGACGGAGAAAACAGGCCTGCAGTTAGCAAACACAGAAAGAAAGAGGCTTTAAAAATAGCAAGGGAGGACTGCAGAGATAGCTCAGTGGACTAAGCGCCTGCTTAGGCAAGCTTACGGACCAGGGTTCGATCCCCGGTCCCGTAGGCCGTGCCTGCCCCACTCCCAGGATGCACCAAGCTGGCGACCGAGGCCAGGTGTGGTGGCACACACCTGTAACCCCAGTGTTGGGGAGGCTGAGACAGGAGGATCACTACGAGTCCAAGCTGTGCAGCAAGACCCTGTACCAAATACGTAAATAAAACAAGCGAGGGAGCATGCGAGATCCATCCAGTAGCTGCTAGATGGTGTGAAGAATAACATAAGATTGACTGGAGTGGGTGAAAACAGCAAGAGCATGAATGACCTAAAGGAGTCTGTTCGCAGGCATCACGGCAGGACACCCCCACGCGGGGGGGAAGAGCGTGGCGAGACACAACGAGGCAGACGGAGCCCCACTTAGCCACGATGGGCAGAAAGCCCACACAAACGCGTCCGACAGCTCCAAAGACGCAGGTCCCTCAAATTTAAAGAGCCAGCTCCCAAAATAGGCATCTGCAATGAACAGACACTTCTCAGATGAAGAAGTAGAAATGGCAAACAGATATATGAAAAAATGTTCAACATTACTGGTCATTCAAGAGATGCAAATTAAAACGATGCTGAATTTCATCTCACTCAAGAGAGAGTGGCTATCATCAAGAAGTCAACCAACAACAAACGTGGGGGAGGCGACAGGGGAAAAGGAACCCTCTCCACTGCTGGCGGGAGTGCAGACTGGTGTAACTACCATGGAAATCAGTGTGGAGAATCCTCCGAACAGTAGGACCAGAGGTCCCATTTGGCCCAGGTATTCCCCTTCTTGGTATCTTTCTGAATTAACAGCAGCTCATGCCACAGCAATATTTGCACACCCATGTTTACAGTGGCAGTCTGTAATAGCTAAATCTTAGAAACCGAAACGTCCATCAACAGATGAACAGATAAAGATAAGGTTCTTTTAGTCCATGGAGTACTATTCAGCCATAAAAAATGAAAATTCTGAGTCATGGCTAGGTAAATGGATGCACCTGGAAAACATACTTTTAAGTGAAATACTCCCGACACACATGTAAAGAGTGCATAGTTGCTCTGGTATGAAGAACTAAAAGTACAAGTAAGGACCAAAATGTGTAACAGATATTGGTACACAGGGAGGAAATACTCAAATGGGAAGAAGAACTGTGGGGAGGGGGGAAGGGAAAAGATAAAACAAAAAAAGAAAAAATAGAAACAAAGCTTTTGTAAATAGGAAGGTGAAGAGGGGTTGAAGGGAAGGTAAGGAAATGGGGGAAAAAAAAAGACCCCTGCTACAGCAGGTACAGGTACAGTTCCCTATGATGAATATGATCATTACGTATACCTAAAATGTACCAATAAACTTAAATTTTTTTAACAATTATGTTTCCGACACTAAAGATGGTCACCCACAAACATCTGCCAACTTAAAATTTTCCTGTTAGGTACCTTTGATTATTTGCAGATGGTCTCCACAAAAACATTATTACAATAAGGATAACTGAGAAAAGGAAGCTCCAAAACGCATCATCAACCCAGAGTTCCATCCAATCCTAAAATAAGGACAAATCAAATATGAAAAATTAATGTTCTGATAAGCATACAGCATTCCCATTCAAACATATATGACAAGTGTGAATGACATCTCTCCCATCAAAGTCTTCTAAGCAAAAATTTTTTTTAAAAGTCTCTATTTTTATAATGTTTCTAAAAGGCTAATGCTATAAGTACCCCATTCTGTAAAAGTTCAGGGTTAACAAAAGGATTTATTAAACAAAATTCTACAGCATATGCTTTGAACTTCAGATAGAGGTGAGGAGAGGAGAAAGAAACTCCAGAAGTCACCCTCATCTCTTACTGAACCATCCCCAAGGCGGCCCAGAGGCTAGCTCCCAATCCTTGGGTTGCCCTAAGAGAGCCTTTCATTGTGTAGGCCTGAGAAATAGAATTTCCCCAACTAGGGAACCCAAAGTGAACATCGCCAGAAGTCCGCAATGAGGGTGCCACCCAGAAAACGCTCGATTTAAGACTGGTGGCCCCATTAGATTCAAACAACACAACACAACCAGGCGTGGGGGACTCCTAAGGTGCAGAGCGTGCTCAGCATATCCGAGGCACGGGTTCAATCCCTGCTACTAAAAGGAAGAAACACAAAAAAGACACAAAACCACTCAATCTCATAGTGCGCAGGAAGAAAATGACTCATATGCAAGGCAGGCACTCTCCACCACCGAGCTGCAGCCTGGTCCCTGCCTGTTCTTCTTAATCATGGAGGAAGAGAATTCTTTTTCAAGGTGAGAAAAAGGCATGAGAGTAAAGGAGATTTAAAAGGAAAATCTTACTCATTTAAAAGAGGAGTTTTGGTCTTTGAAGTATTTTGTCTAATGCTAGACAAAATACTTCAAAGAAAAAGGAAAATCATTAGAATTACATGTGTTCAAGAAATAAAAATTCTTCAGTTTCGCAAAATAAAACAGTATACTTTAGGGCCAGCAAGACAGCTCATCAGACTAAAGCGCCTGCTTAGGCAAGCTCAGGCAAGCACAGGGACCGCGGTTTGATCCCCGGCACCACATGCCACACCAGCCTGGCCCCAGTCTGGGTGTAGTGGCTTGGCCTGTAAGCTCAGCCCTGGGGAGACAGAAAACAGGAGGATCACCACGAGTCTGAGCTGTGTAGTGAGACCCTGTAATAACCAAATACATTTTAAAACAAAACAAGACAGTATACTTTGAATATAACAACACATAGTGTATTAACTATTGTTACTCTGTTGTCTTGTTCTGAAATTTTATTTTTTCTCTTTAAAATAAAAAAATAAAACAGTATAATTAAAAATGAAGATCTACTTACTGATTGGCATTTTGCCATTCTAAATGTCTTAGTTGTCCATACCATAAACACTACAGAAGCTGAAAGACAAAAAAGTCACCTTTGAAGAAATATGCAATACTGAAATAATTTTTAAAATAAGAATAAGTAAACAGCTTACCTAGCACAGCAAAGATGAGAGTATTTGTAAAATGCCTATATAAGGAAAATTTCACTGTATTTTTTCTTAGTCTTAGTGTCTTCATTGTTTGTGCCAAACTTATAAAAATGTAAAAAGAGTTAAGGAAAAACATTTAAAACTGTAATGGAAAGTTTATTTTTATTTATTTTTGTTTATTTAGTTTTTGTTTTTGTGGAACTGGGGACTGAACTCAGGCCCTCACGCTTGCCAGGGAAGCGCTTTTCTACTGAGCCATCTTCCCGGCCTAGTAACGGATAATTTTTTTTAAAACATAAGAATGTTCTATAATACTTTTTTTTTTTTTTTGCAGAACCGGGGATTGAACTCAGATCCTGGAGTTTGCCTGTCAAGCGCTTATCCTACTGAGCCATCTCCCCGGCCCCTAAGAATGTTCTATAATACTTCCAAAGTTAGTACTGCTAAATAAAGTTCCTATAATGTGAAACTAATAACACAGAAAATGTTATCTTACTCAATAGTATATAATCATGGTCCATTACACAGATTTTGCTTTATGAGTTACCACTGTCTGAAATAAATGAACAACCTTCAAAGGCAAAAACACAAGTAAGACTGTGATGTGCTCTTGCTTCAAGGCCAGTCTCCAGGACACAGAGCGGTGCTCACGCTCACAGCCAACTCCTTGCCAGGTCGATGCCCTTTGCAGACCACATCCCAGTGTGCCATTTGACCTCCGCTTTTCTGTTTTCTTTCTTTCCTATTTTTCTTCCTAGCCTATTCTCTGAATGACCACAATAAAGAAGTCAGGTTATCTATTAGATCCATTTTATGTATTAAAATGCTGGAATATGCCAAACAAAACTGAGCTTAGGTAGAAACAGATTTTACTAGCCACTACTGCAGTGGGGGAACACTAGGATTCTACGACCTCCTAGAGTCTCAAGGGCTAGAGAGAAGTTGGCATGGGAGGGCGAGGTGGGGGTGTGAGTGCCCAGTCAAACCCTGGAGCCTGCAGGTTCCCAGAAGGGGGCCACATGAAGGGCTATCTTGGGTCAGGCTGATGGGGTCAAAGTTCAGGGCATGGGGAAAGACAGGGCTTGACATTTGCTCATTAGTATTTTTCCAGACTGGCCAGTGAATGCGTAAGATTCCTCTAATCATATAGGAGGCTGAGAATGGGTATCTGGAGCGCCCAGCCCTGTCACAAGTCCTGGGCCATCTGAGAGGCTGAGTCTTGCGGGAAGGTGCTTCTTTGGACTTCCCTTTCCCAGAATAGAAATGAGGTTTTCTTAAGCTTGGTTGTGCTCCAGGAGGCTGGGCCTCAGGTCACAGCGAACTGCCAATTCTGTGTGAGCACAGACCTTTTCAATGATTCCTCAATAGTGAAGGGAATCATGCCAGATCACTTGCAGTTTTCCTGTCCGCTTCGCTTTTTGCTGTGGGGGGACTGAACCCAGGGCCCTCACACTGAACTATCACTAAAGTGGTGAGGCTGGGCTCAGACTTGCAGCCCTCCTGCCTCCGCCTCCCAGAGCACTGCACGTGTGCATCACTGTGCCCAGCCCAAACCTCTGTCCTTCAGTGCAAGTTCACTTCTCTGGCAGTACCAGAGCTGGGCAAAAGGAAAGAAGAGGGAGGTGCTACATCGATGCCTATTTTAAGTTCTAAACACTTCATTAATCAAAAACTTCATTTTCTCTCCAAACCTACTTTGCAAGACTGTTTTTAATCTTTGTAAATGATCAAGAAGTTGCAAGGTAAATCAATTTGTAAGGTAACATAAGCCAAGCAGGGCTACTACTAGAACTTACAAAAGCACAAATATAACTTATTCTTTAAACATACCAAGATGTAAAAAACTGGTCTTTTTTATTATTCGAAAATATGTTTTTTGAACTCAAGCAATATAAAAAACAAATTAGAAGCACCCTAAGCCTTCACTTACCAACACTGTCACAATTAGGTACAATTAAATCATTCCTCCCATCAGGGGAAGCAATGACGAGAGCAAACAGACGCCTCATCCCAGGGGCAGGCTGCACAAGCTGCGGCCGAAGGAAAAGGATATCCACCAGCACAAGCCCGAGTCAAGGAGAGAGAGGGGGAGGCTGGCCAGAAGAACAAGGTCAGAGTCATTCGCCTGCAGCAAAACAGCAAAAAATAACAAGCAGGAAAAAAGGAGGTGGCACATTGAGAAAAGCTAAGGCTTTTGCATTTTCCAGGCTTCTTCCTGCTAAGTCAGAGTTAGACTCTTACATGGTTAGCTACATCGAATTCATCAAAATCAAAGGAAGCAGGGTAATTATCAAAGCTGTCCATTCTGCATGTACCTAGCTCCACTTCTTTTGCTTGTCATTTGTAATCATCTAGGAAACCCACTGTTGTTTGGGGTTTCTTTCCCCTGTGTAGAGAAAGCATTTTTCACTCTGGTGATGCAAATTAGACAATAATCTGAAGGCAAACTCAACAAATTAAGAGTCCAGCAGAAATGGATACTAGAGTTCCTTCTGCTCACCAAAATACTTTAAATGTCTGAATTTCATTATGATTATTAAGCAAATTAAATCCCGCATTTTGTTGTCCTTGATTCTCCACGAGATCGGACTACGTACTGGATGGTACCACAGTCAACGCTGTCCACGAGGGTGGTAAATGGCACCCATGCACACGCAGAGGGAACTGGACCCTATAGAGCTGTCGTCCCTTGGAATTTTCTGCTAAGTTGCAGCTGAGTTTTTCCAATGAACTACTCTATAGATGGTTAAGAACAAGAAACCTCCGAAACACTTTTCTATAAATTACTAGGAGAAAAGATTGTACGGATTTTCTTACAAGCAAAGTCTACAGTTCAGTGAACTGACTCCTTGATTTGCTCAAAGCTCCAAGCACACACACAATTTGAACAGACATCTTAGACTCGTTTTCTGAACGCATGGCAAAGTGTCAAGACCCAGAGATGCTAACGCCGAGGGCCAACAGCTCTGCGCATCTCCACCCTGACTCCCGACGTGCGGTCCTTTCTGTGCATGCCTCTCCTGACAGGCAAGTGTCCCTACAGAGAAGCCGGGGAGCCACAACCTCAAGGCTGACTGCTCACACACAGCACCGAGGAGTACAGTCAGCAAATGCACCTCTTTAAGTGTCTTCTGAGAAACTTGAAAAATATGAAGACATGGCTCTCTTAGAAAAACAGATGTATTTAACTAATTTAACTAATAAATCTGGGTCCTAAATTTAGAGCTATGAATGGAAGCAAACAATAGCTTTAAGCAAGTTCAGTCAAAACCAACTTTTAAAATCAGATGCTACTTCGTATCACTGCTCCTCATACTGAGAGGGCGCATGGATATAAGCCAGGAGGGCCTGGGTGGCTCCTTGTGCGGGCGCTGCAGGCGCTGCTCTGTGAAGGGAGGCTCAACAGCAGCCATCATCTTTCCAAAAGCATATTTCTAATCCCTGTGCTCAGACAAGGTAAACAACCATGAGCTGTAATAATTCATCAAAAGTGCACTGCGCCTTCAATGTGAAAGCATACTGAGAACTCACAAATGGGGGCAGGACAGCAGAGCGAGGCCAGGCTTAGGAAACGACCGCAGGGTCCCCGCAGCCCTGAGCAGGGCTGCATTTGCACACTGTACTCTGCAGCGGGGAGACCTCCCTGTGGAGAAAGGAATAGGCAGGGCCGAACCTGCTGGCTGTCCAGGCAGACATACACACAAGAACATGCAAAGAAGTACGAAGAAGCCAGGGTTGTAGCTCAGTAGCACAGCATCTGCCTGGCAAGCACAAGGTCCCGAGTTTGGTTCCCGTAACAACAACAACAAAGACAATAAAAGAAAATTCCATGTCGAAAGAGGGAAGTGGCAAAGACAATGGAAACAAAAAGAACATGGTAAAATTAAAAGTCCACCTAACAGGAAAGACATGGTGATGACATGAAAATAAATGCTGTGCAACACACATAACCTGTGTTTTGCTCTAACCAGGTCACGTTTTCCTGAGTTCCTCCCATTTCTACCAGTACCACTGTGGAGGAAAAAACACAGGAATTCCCCACACTCGACTTCAGTCACCGAGCCAGAGGAGGCCCCAGGAACCACTGCCTCCAAGCTGGTCCTGCTGCAACACCTCCAGCCGCGGCCTTCACTGAGCCTGTGCTGCGGCTGCCTGCTCCAAGCTGCTGAAGGACGGGCGCTGGTGTGGGCGAGGCCACTCTGGACCGCATCCTCCTGACCTCCGCTGTGCTCCAGGGCAGTCTGCTGGCTCTGCTACCTCCCTGCACCCTGTGTTCTTTTGAGGCTCTTCTTCCTCCCCACGAGGCTCCATCCTGCCCTCCTCCACTGAGGTGCATGTTCCGGTTGGCTCTTTCCACAGCTGCAGCCTTCTCCCATCTACACATGTCCTCTGACCCTCACCTCCAGCCCCGACCCTCTCAGAAGCCCAGGATGTGACTTACACATCTTTTTTCACATTAATGCCCTGGGCAGCCCAAACCTGGTCCAAGAGCCCCTCCTCCAAGCTCCCCACCCAGAAAACGGCACTGCTGCACCCGAGCTATTCTAATGAGCCATGGCAGACCTCTCTGGAGCGCCTGTTTCTGGCAAGCCTATCATCTGGATTGTTTTCCCCACTTTGTCACTGTATTTCTGACCCTTATCTCTTCTTTGTACTTATGCAAGTGAATTCTTACCCAACTTCCTGCCCTTAGTCCCTCCTTGTCACCTTCTGTCACCCTTCTCTCTGCCACTGGTCCCATCATGTTCCATGTGAACAGCTTCCTATCCTCTCTGTGTCCCACCTTCAGGAGGACCTCACAACCCACAAACATGCCATTCTGTCTCTCTTTCCTGCCCCCAGTGGCCAGAATTCTACAGGAATGCTACCCAGGGCCACCTCGGTAGATTTCCATGCTTCCAACGCTTTGTTCCCCTCAGTTCTCCCCATATGACCTTCTCCCCAGTCCTCTTCCCAGCAAACTATTTGTTCTCTTGGTTCCACTTAAATTCTACCACCTTTAAAGTCTTTCCTGATTTTTATGCCAGAATTAATTTCTCTCTTCGCTACCTCTGTTCACATGATGCCATTCTCAAATGGCGCATATTATTGCTGTACTGCTGTTAGTTAAGTGACACACATGCCTCTCCTAGCAGGCTGTGAGTTCTTTAACTGCAGGGACAATCTTTTTCATGCATGCCTTAACACTGGCAGGTACTAAGCACTGAAGCATTTGCTGAACTTAAATAAAGAGATATTCTTTTTTTGGGGAGGTACTATTTTTTTTATCTTCAAATAAACTCTTACACTGAAGAAACAATAATGCATAACTGTATTTCACTCTATTATTATAAGTTAAAAATAATCTAATTTTAATGATGCAACAAGCTTTTGTGGAAATCATAGTAAAGGATATGAACCATACAAAAATGGAGTCAATAACTGCTAAAATAATGTCACCCAAAACAACACCTAAATATTTAGAACCCTGAAAGACAAAATAGGGGGGAAAAGTCTGGTTGTAAAAGTTCCATTACAGTACAGCAATTATCATTTGGTGAAAAAAAAAAAAGTTAGCTCATTTTATCATTCTACAATGCCACATAAAAGATCTTATTCCTTAAGAGAATTGTGCTTAGCACATGAAAATTACCTGTTTTGGCAAAAACAAATGCTAGCATGTCACTGACTTATTAGATGTTAGTGATACATTGGTACTGTGGACTGCCAAATGAAAGGCCTCACGTCCCAGCCTCACTCAGACTGGCCATTTCAGTCTCTCCCCTCTTCCTACCAAGCCTTTAGCCAGGACTACGCAAGAAAGGGACTTCTGACCTTCCTGTCCTTGCTGTAAAAGGACACAAAAGAAGTACAATAGGAGAGGGACTGTGTGCCAGGCCACAGCCTGCGGATCAGACATCTACTCTCATCAGCCGTATTTAAGTCACTAAGACACTGCTGAAGTAAAATGTCTAAAAAACATAATGCATAAATACATGTGAGGTACTTATCTTTTCTATATTTTCTCTAGCAAAAGTTCACATTCTACAAAATATATATGTATAAACATGTATATGGAAAGCTCATGATTATGGAAAAATAAATATACGTATGGAAAGATCTGGTGTATGACAGGGAATGCAGACGTATCAAAGACTATAGAGAAGGGAATAGATTTTGTGTTTGTTTTTTCTTTTTGGTGGTACTAGGGATCAAACTCAGGACCCTGCACTTGCCAGGCAAGCACTTATTCCACTGAGCTACCTCCCTGGTCCCTTAAAGTTTTTTTTTTTTTTTTTCTACAGGGTGTTCAGGGTCTCGCTGCTAGATTGGACTCGTAGTGATCTGCCTGTTTGCAGCCTCCCAAGACTAAACACTCTGCACACAATGACTTCATTTATACATTGTATTCAAAAGACATTGTGAAACAGGTAAAGTTCTTTGAAATAGGTAAGATATAGTCCTCAATCACTTACTAAGAAAAAAATCAAGGCTAGAAATCTAAAGTCCTGACAGATATAAATATGGATATTCCCGAGAGTGCACAGTGCTGCTGCGCACATAACCAGAGGCGTCTCTCCTGAACAGAGCCTTTGCCTGCGTCTCCCAACAGGAGGGGCTGCTGAGTCCTCAAAGTACAAGGCCGCTGCGTCCAAGCAAACCTGTGACCACCCGACACGAGCACGAGAAGACTGCTGCAGAGCAATGCTGACATGCCTCGAGGCACATAATTACCTCATAGAGCTAACTCTGTTCACCTGATGCCAGGATTAAGAATGACATAGCTGTGGGCCAGCAAGATGGCTCAGTGGACTAAGCGCCTGCTTAGGCAAGCGCAGGGGCCAGGGTTCAATCCCCAGCACCACCTGCTGCGCCGGCCCTGCCCCTGGGCGTGCTGAGCTGACTACTGAGACTGGGCATGGTGGCGCATGCCTGTAATCCCAGCGCTGGAGGAGGCTGAAAACAGGACAATCGATATGAGTCTGAGCTGTGTAGTGAGACCCTATACCAAATACATTAAGAAAAAAAAAGACATAAATGTGTACAGACTATATAACAATAACTGAACATCTGGGACAGAGCTAATTCCTGGGAAGACACCAAGTGGAGCCTTCTCAAGCATTCATGTCACTTGGAGCAGTATTCTGCCTCGCTGTTTCCTTCAGAAGTATTAAAAGAGAACTACCTCCTGGGAAAAAACTCAACTTGGCCTTTTTTCCTAAATTTACATCTTTAAAAATATCCTCTCAAGAAATCTAAAGTAAGCTCACATCTCACAGGTACAACAAGAGGGGTGGTAGTGACATTAGTGTAGTTTTTACCCCAATGACTCGCATCACGCCTTCAATAGCTGCAAAGATAAAGTAAAGCAGTCCCAGTCCAATCACACGGTGCATGACTGTTCCCAGCCGAGGCCTGGAGTGAAAAGGGGTCAGGAGAAAAGAAAATGCACAGGTAAGTAACATGCGCTGGAAACCAGCACACCCTCCAGTCCCAGGACAGCCACTACATAGCCCCTCAGTGCGCTCCTGTCTCGGCAGCACCGTCTCAGGAGAAAGCGCATTTCCCGAGAACACAGCACAAACAGGCTGGGGGCCTCACATCTCTTCCCTGTGGATGCCTGTGAAGCAAGCCCGTGAGGGACAAAGGCGGGAAAAGTTCTTGCTGCTGAAGTTCAAGCTCTGTAACAAAGAGGCACTATTTCTATAGAGTGAAGGGTAGGCTGGTGACACCTAGGAAGGCAAATGCCACTGGCAAAGATGACAACTTTATTCTCCCACTAATATTAACCACAAATGGCTAAATTAGGTCTTGTTTTAGGTAATCTATGATCGTACAACTCAGGCAGGGGAAGAGTAAATGAGGGATGGAAGTTTAGCACTTCTCTGACTGCAGCCTCTGCCTCCTCCACAGGACAGCCAACTGAATTTAGTTTTGATGCTTCAAACTGAAAATTCTGAGTCCTCAGGAGTCTCAGGGTCAAGGATAGAAAATAAGCAAAGCTCCGACTTTACCAAGGGTGGGCTGGGGGTTAGACAGATGCGAGATACTAACATCCATCAAATGGCATCATAAAAGGCTGAAGGAACAGATTTTCACAGTGTGTACTCTTGGGGATCCTGAAAGCCCTCGCCTGTTGGAAATGACATGGAGCAGAAGTCCAAAGGAAATGAAGAAAAGTGTCTGGGATCAGGGGAAGGAGCTCATGCAAATGACAGTCAGCAGGATGAATCACATGTCCACAGGAAGAGCAGCAGGAGATGAGGTCCCTTCAGGACAGCCTCCCAAGTAAACGGGGAGGCGGATTTTACTGCACAAAAGAGTAGCCAAGTACCAGTCGCAGTCACATTTGAAAAGGATCATCTCGCCACTGCTGTACTCCAAGGGTGAAAGCAGGGAAACTAGAAGCCAGGTAGCAGCCAATTCTACAGTCTGGAGGGAAAAGATAGTGGCTTGGCCAGGCCGGTACCTGCAGATGGGATGGGAAGGCTCCTTCTGGGTGTATTCTGAAGTTAGGCTCGTGGAACAGGCTGAGAGGGCCCCAGGAGTGTTATTCAGAGGGCAGGATCTGAGGCCTGAGCGTGGGGCACTCCAGGGCTGGGCCTCACGAGACAAAGAAGTTGTAGCAGAAGAAATCAGGAAGGAGCACCCAGTGACGCAAGAGAGAAACCAAGCACAGCCAGGTTCCATAACCAAAACTGGTGGAAAAGCACTCGGGCTGAGGCTTGGCAGGATCAAGGGAGGTCAGAGTGAACATGACCAGGGCAGCCTCAGTAGAGCTATAGGGTGAAACCTCTCCAGGGAATGTGCAAAAGAATGAGGGAGGTGAAGTGGCAGGCATAGGTGATGACTCATTTGGAAAGGTTCAATACACAGTGTGAACAAAATGAAACAGAAATATAGGAGAGGGCATGCAGGACTCAGGGAGGCCTTTGTTTTTAAAGACAACAAATATCAGCAAGCTACAGTGACTCATGGGGGAGGAAAACTTAGGAAGCAAGAAAAACTGGCACCAACCGCTGAGGCAACCTCACTGACAGGACAGGACACAAGGGCAGGCAGAGCCTATGCCTACTGAGGAGGAAAACACCATATGTAGTCCAGACATGGGAGAGGGACAGGATCTGAGGACAGCACTACAACAGAACCCCCTGCTGACAGCTTCTCCTTCCTCAGAGAAAAAGGAACCCTGGTCAGTGCAGAGGAGTGAGGGCAGGGGCTGGGAGGTGTGAGGAGACAGGGTAAAATCATCTTCTTCAGGGAACAGGAAGGGAAAAAAGACTGGTGAGAAAATCTAGTAACACTTCCGCCAGTACCATGGGTGCACCTGAAGCTCAGGGTCATGAACTGAACCCGGCCCTAGGCAGTATGGTCCAGTGCTGCAATGCTTCTGCTGGGGTATGAGGCTGTGGAAGGTGCAAAGCTGGATTTGCCAAGGCTAGACTGTCAAGAAGATGCCCAAAGGAAAGGCAGCGAATCGGTTATCAGCATCCAGCTGGACTGAGGAAATGAAGTTAGAGGAAGAAGGTGAAGATACAAGAGGGAAAGGATAGCAGGAGGTGGTAGGCCGGAGGCCAGAAGCCAGAGACGGCCGTAGCTGATCTCAGAAAAGGAAACAGAGGAAGAGACACTTGAAAAAAGAATTGCTCAATACTGGGATTCTGAAGTGAATACAGTCTAGAAAAAGACCATGGGAATCAGAAGCTGAGACAAGGTAAAGGGACAGGGATGAGGGTAGATGAGGTCAGGGTCACTGGCACGGAGGACAATGACATCACAGGGAGGTCCCAAGGAGAAAGACAGCAGAGCAAGTATGAGAGGAGAAAGGAGACAGGAAGCCTAGATACGACAGAGAAGACACAGAAGGTGATGTGTCTGCAGGCTTGCAGAAGGACACAGAGGACATGATCCCCCATATTCATGTCCAGCGAGTCACAGGGGTGCAAGGTCTGCCTGGGAGGGTCCGGAAGGCAGGGCGTCCAGGGCTAGTCAGATTCTAGCCAGAAACCCTGCTGACTTGGCATTTAACCCACACTGCTGCAACATTTGTGTGCACTGACAAAGCTTACCGAACTGCCTGGAAAGCTCAACATAAGCCTGAAAATTACGAATCATTTTAGCTTTTCCATTACCCTAAAAGTTTGTTTTTTGGTTTTTTTTTTTTTTACCCTAAAAGTTGACTATTCACCTAACTATAAAAGTTACTGGAATTCAAATTTGGGATCTTTATTTGGAATTAATGTAAAATAGCTAGTATGTGGATATGTGTTAAAAATAGGGGGCCAGGGAGCTAAGTAGGGCCAGGGAGATAGCTCTGAAGAATAAGTGCTTGCCTGGCAAGTTCAAAGCCCTGAATTCAATCCCTGGTTCCACCGAAGAAAAAAAAAAAAAAAAAAAGGTTCTTGCAGTTTTCCCCTCAGGATTTGTCTTATGAGTGAGCGGGAATTCCAGGAGGCCATAATGCAGATGGGCTGAGTCCCCAGACCGGAGATGTGGCGTCTACCACACTCCAGTACTTACTTCACAATGCCGTAGCCCAGGCTCACGATGATCACAAGCAGGCGGGCCAAGGTCCTCTTTATCGCAGATATCAACTCCGCAAAGATCAAGAGACCTTGGGCTGAGTGCAAAAAAAAAAGAACTCACTGTGTGCACATCTAGAGCAGGATTCTAAGCAGGACTGAGGTACCACTGCATTCTGGCCTCACACACATTAGGCATACCTAATCAGAAGTCATCTAATCCAGCTGACATTTAGAAATTCAAGGAAGGACAGTTCACTACAGCTGCAGATTTCACTCCAAATCCAACCCGTTCCACTGGAAGCCTTTTTCCCTCAACATGAAACCAGTCTCCCTGAGCTCCTCTCTGCTCTCAGCTTCCCCTTGAGGCTACATAGAACTATATGCTTCTTCCTGTAGATATCTGAAAGCTATAATATCCACTGAGCTCTCTCTTCTCCAGGATGCCTTCATCATTAGCTCATGTAAAGTATATTTGCTAGAGGGAGATTACTGGCCTGGCGCGTGCAAAGCCCTAGCTGAGATTCCCACACTACAAAAAACCAAGCAAACGAAAGTAGTCATTATATTCCTACTGTGTGGCTGCAATAGTCAAGTGACCCTCTTGACGCTCTGTCTACTGAAGCGTGGACTCTGGCTAGGCCAGGTAAAGAGAACTAATGTGCTAAGCACTGGATTTAACACAGTAACCCATAGTAGAAGGAAAGTCAGCCTGACCTACATTTGGGGAAAGTGTAAGCAAGTCCAAAAATACCTAAGAAACAGTGTTATGAAAATCAGGATTTGAGAGCTGGGCATGAAGGTGTATGCCGGAAGTCCCACTGTTCGGAAGGTTGGGGGTTGAGGAGTAGAAGTTAGAGACACCTGGGCGACTTAATGAGGGTTTGTCTCCAAAAATAAGAGGCTGAAGTTGAATGAAGCTCAGTGGTAGAGTGCCCTCAGGTTCAACCCCCAGTAATGAAAAACAGAAAGCAAACCAGATCACCACTGACAGCAAAGGAGCTGCTCACCTTTGCTATCCAAGGACGGTTCAACCCCAAGCAGCAGGCCCCGTTTTCCTTCATTTCCCAACTTTGAGCACATGTGCACAAATATAAAACCTACTGGGTAGTAAAACCTCCACTCTGCACACCAGCATGTCTACCCTTTCTTCATTCTTCTGTACATGTCTTTTTAACCTTTTTATTTTGGGAAATTTCAAATATTCCCCACGTGGGGAAAGAATTAGTGTAATGAATTCCCATGAACCCATCACTCAGCTTCAAAGATTATCAAAATTGTTAAAATTCATTTTTGTCTATTATTTCAACTTACTTTTTCATAGGGTGTTAAAAATAAAATCTATTGAAAATCTGTACCCAGATCATTTGTAACTGGTCCTTAGGGTGCTGTTACGAGGCCTTCTGAGCTGTCTCCCTTCCCAAAGTTTCAGCAGTGGGATGAGTTGCTACCTCTTTGGTGTTTTTGAGATTTAGCTTTGGGAATTCTGGAACACAAATCTGTGGATTCCTGGCTACCTGTACACCCCATGGCACACATGCCACTGGGAACTGTGAGGGCACTGCTCATGGTCACACAAAGCCCTTGCATGAGTGAAGTAGGACAGGATGCAAACCCACAAAAACGTCCACATGGTGCCACTGATTTTAGGTCTGTGCCCAAATTATCCTTTTCTCTTTTAGCAAAGAGAAAAGAAGATTGGAAGAAAAAGAAGAAACATTAAAAAAAAAAAAATCTGGTCACACCATAAGGGCCTCTGTCTAGAACCTTGTGTTGTTTTAATCACAGCTAAGCTCTAGGGAATAAGAATTCTCTTTCTCAGGAGGAAAAGCAAGGGGAAAGACAGCAGCTGGCAAAAAGGAAGACAGAAAATGAAGAGAATGCATGTTCTCGCCCAGGTCAGGATGGCACTGCCATTCTCCTCTGGGCTTCCCTCCTCTTTACCTACGTGTGTAACACACCCGTTTCCAAGTCAGTGTACAAAAGGGGGTCTCCCACAGTTCCACTCACTGATCCCAAGAAACTGCTACAGCACACTCTAGTTAGAGACACCAAAACTTACTTGACAGTCCAGTGTTGTTGATGTTTTGGTATTCAGAATAAAAAACTGCTTTTTCAAGCATTCCTAGGAAAATAACAGCAGCAATCCAGAACTGTATTCTTAATATATCTTTCCAGTAGCAGGCAGACCACATCAGCCAGAGCACACCATATAATATATAAACAATGCACATCACCATGTAGAACTGTAGGGAGAAGTAGTATTAGCCAAACCTTCTGATCGCATCAAAGTTGGCACTTACACATTTAAGAATCAGTCCTCTATTTTCTGATCACTCTGGATCCAGATATACTATTATTTATAAAGAGAGCAGTACTACCAAGTTATTAAAATTTGAAGTTTACCATTAGAATACAAAACTCATTTTTTTAAAAAAGGAAACATGGGCTGGGGGCATAGCTCAGTGCTAGAGTGCCTAGCACATGTGAAGCCCTGCATTCACCCTCAACATCGCAAGAAAAAAAGAAAGCCTGCCAGCCTGCGAGTCAGCCAGCCGAAAAAGGTAAAAATACTTACGATCATTAGAGGCCAATCTGATGCAGAGATATATCCATGCGGCCCCATCATAGAAAGAGAAACTAGTGACAACAGCAGTGGGGTTAGAGAAGAAATGAAAAAGTTAATTTTTACTTGTACACATGAGGTAATGGATAATTACGTGCTCTTACCAAGATATATTTACTTGTACACATGCTGTTGCGAAGACTTGCACTGACTCATCTTCTACAGAAAGAAGTACCAGCGACACAACCAGGTCCCCGCCTGGCCCTCTCACTAATTCACTGATCTCCCCAAGGAGGTTCTTAATGTAACATGGGATAAAACACTGAGACCTGAGAAGGCCACACTATGTAAGTATGCAAGACAGGGAGGGCTGGGCAATGAGCACATCATCCACCCGACAGGGGCTTAACTGCCTGCTGGCATCGGGGCAAAGGCCCAAGACCTGGAAAGAAAAGTGCACAAAACTAGTCCAACTGCCTTCTGAATTCACGTGTTGAAATTGAATCCCCATTGTAATGGTATGAGGAAGTGGGGCTATGGGCTGGGGACACAGCTCAGTGGTAGAAACTTGCCTATCACAAATGAAGAAGGAATTAGTTCAGGCCTCAGCACAGAAAAAAAAAATAGTGAGGCTTGTTAGAAAGTCCCCCCCGAATGCACTACCACGAAGGCGGGAAGGAAGTAGATGGCCCTTTCCAGCTCCTTCACCACCCGCTGTGTGAGGGCCTGACAGCCTCTCCTTCTGCTCTTCTGGCATTTCTGCCCTGTGAGGGCAGAGTTCATGGCACCATCCTGGAAGCAGACATGGACCCTTGCCAGGCTCCGGGGACCAGATCTACCAGCACTTTGAAGTTTCTAGCCTTCAAAACTCTATTCCCTATTGCTTTGGTGTCTAGTTGTCCCTCCAAAGCCCTACGGACTCACCGGGCAGCTTGTGGAATTTGTGATAATTGTGGGTGTGGATGCTGTGGATGCCCTGGGGCAGGTAATCTGCTTTATGGTGTAAGGAGGAGAGAGGATGGCTAGCTGCCAGAGCTGCTGCAGCTTCCTTTGCTCTCTGCTCTGGCACCACCATGAACTTCTGCCCTCTGCCATGTGCCACTCTACCTTACAGCCAGCTCAGTATGGACTGAAACCTCCATTAACTGTGAGCTAAATAAACTTTTCCTTCCTTCATGTTGGGTGTCGGGTATTTGTCCCAGCAAGGAGAGAAGAGTAACTGAGACACCTATAACTATCCATGGCAGGTATTTTGCTACAGCCAGGTGATGGGATGCTGTCAGGGCCCCTGCTCCCTCTACCTGGGACAGTGCAGTGGGAAGTGCTGCTCACATCTTCCGGTGGCCACAGGCAGCCAGCACAGCTGCCCACGCAGCACTGTGCAGCACGCCTACTCCATGCCTGCCTGCACTGCCTGTCTCTGTGCTCTTCCTGAACTATGCACGCTCAAAGACAGAGCCTGGCTTGGTTCCCAGTGACCGAATCAGAACAATGGGCCAGTGGCCACGACTGTCACAGGCCCCAACACTGCTCTGGACATCAGCCAAAGTAATTCTGGGATCCACAAAGCTGTTCATTCTCTCAAAAATTACTTATGAACTTGATGGTAGCAGTGGCCGCTCTGAAAGTGTGTGAAGGATAGCTTCCTCTTAGAGACCGTCCCAAAGAGAGAGACAAGGGACCTTGCCACCATCCTGCCACCTAGCTACAACAAAAGTACAGGCCACTGGGTCACCGTGAGTCTAAGGACAGCTTCACTGGGCCTCCAGTAGTGGTATGGGACAGATTCCTCAGAAACACAAACACAGAAGCCACAGCCGGCAGGCATGCACTTCCTACTCCTAGGCGACAGCCTTTAGGATTTTTTTTTTTTTTTTGTTCCTCGAATGCCTTCAGGGCACTTTTGGCCAGCGGGAGAGTTGTGAGGTTCGAACTCCAGCAACCTGAGGCTGACAGCTTTGTGGAAGCAGCCACTTAAAGGCCTGAGCTAGGGCCAGGCCCCCAGACAGCCTTTAAAATAAAACAAATTACAAACTTCTGAAACCCTTGATGACAACCATTCTCAAGAAAAAATTTAATCTATTTCAAATAGCATTAAGATGTTGTTTCATTTCTGTAAATTTTTTTAAAAACTGAAGGGACTGAATATTTTATATCACACTATGAAGTTTCAAGATTATACACACACGCGCGCGATTTGTCAACTGAAGCTTTTTGTTTGTTTTGCAGCACCAGGTATTGAAGCCAGGGTCTTCGAACTTAGCTATATCTCCAGTCCCTTATCTTTTACTTTGAAATAGGGTCTCACTAAGTCATTAGGCTGCCCAGGCAATGCTTGAACTTGCCATCTTCCTGCCTTGGCCTCCAAAACTGCTGCTACAAACAAATGTCTACAAAGTTATGCTCAATTAACAATAAAATTTCAATTCATCCAAAAAATTAGGGCTGGGGAGACAGTCCAGTAGAATAAACATTTGCCTGGCAAGTGTAAGGTCCTGAGTTCAATCCCTGGTACTGCCAAAAAAAAAAAAAGAATCAAAAAATTAGTTTTTAGTTTTCAAAATGTGTGACCAACAGAAATTTTTTTGTATTTTTATTTTTTAATCCATTTCTGAAAAATACGTTTTTAACAGAAAAATGGAGACTGGGGATTTGGCTCAGCAACAGAATGTTTGCTGGAAGCCCTGGGTTTGGTCCTCGGCACCAAAACCAAAAAATAAGCCTCTCCTAAAAAACAATTTAACCAAAAAAATATAACAACATATTTTTTGCAAGTTTTTGTTTTCCTGGTACCAGGGATTGAACACAGGACCTTGCACTACAATAACATTTTTAAAAAGACTAAAGTCAAACTAGGCAACTAACAGAAAATGGACATTTGGTTGAATGAGAAAATACATAGAACACAGAAAATGCAAACAGTGAAAAAACATGCATGCAGTTTAAATGTACCATTCAAATTCCAGCTGGCATCTGTTTTTTCCGTTTTAACAGAAACAATAAAGATATGAAACCCATCTTTCTGTGTCCTTGCTACAACATCCTGAAATAGAGGGGAAAAATCTGTTATTTTAAACAAACTGCTATATAAGATATAGTTACCCAATTGTGGACCACATTGTAAAATATTTTTTCTTTTGTTATCAGCAATCAAACTCAGGACCTTGTGTTTGCCAGGCAGCCACTTGTGCTACTGAGCTACATTCCTGGCCCAATTTTTGGTAATTTTATTAGATTACTTTGAATAAACAGAGAAAAGAGAAAAAGGAGTGTAGGGAAAACAGATGTCCTATTTTTTTTTTAAAATCACCATCATCCCAGACCCAGAGTGTCTGGAGAAGGGCCTTTTCACTCTTCAATGCCTCTTACTTTTTATATTTCTATGGGTTTTCCTATATCACTACCACTTCACATTTTGATATTATCATCCAAATATTGCCCATCTACTACCAAGCATTCAGCTTTAACTATTCCTGTTTTTAAACAGGCCAAAAGGGTGAAGGAAATCAGTACTGTCAGAAATAGTTCAGACTGAGGACAGCTGTGTCTCAGCAGCAATGGGGTACTGATCCCAGGACCCACCCCCCAAAACACATGTCATCCCGCAGATACCAAAACCCATGGATGCTCAAGTCCCTCAGACAAAATGGTATGTTTACATATAACCCATGCACATGCTCCTGTAAATTTATCTCTAAATTACCTGTAATACCTAATATAATGTAAATGCTATGCAAATAGTGGTTACATTATAATCTTTAGGGACCAATGACAACCAAGTCTATATGTGTTCAGTACAGGATTTTCTTCCCAAATAATCTGTCTACAGTTAGTTTTTTCTGTGGATGTGGAATCCATAGATACAGACCCGGAAAGTGCCAAGGGCCATCTTTATGTAGGTTGGATGACTCCAATTTCTTCATGTACTGTCATTTGTGGCTCCTCTAAGGAATAAAACTGTCACTGCAGTGTCTATGAATCTCCAATGGTCCCACCTAACTGGACCAAACCTGGCACATTCTATTTTCCTCAATATTTTCTAGTTCTTTCCACTCCACGAGGTAGAGTTTGTGTGAAGTCTGTCCCAGCCACCGCAGGGAATGCCTTGCCATCATCGGATTCTACAGGATGACTGAAGAGGAAATGTGAAAGTGGCAGCAGGATAAAAGGCAACAACGAGGGCTGCCGAGATAGCTTGGTGGTCTAAAGCACCCACTTAGGCAAGCTTAGGCACGCACAGGGGACCGCGGTTCGATCATGCAGCGCCAGCCCTGCCCTCAAGGTGGGCTGAGCTAGCCAAAAAAAAAAAAAAAAAGCCAACAGTGGGCTCTCATGGGGCTGGGGAGATGGCTTGGTGGAATAAGCGCTTGCCTGGCAAGCGCAGGCATCTGAGTTCAATCCCTGGTTCCGCCAAAAAATAAAAAACAATGGGCTCTCCTAAACCTACTTTTGGTTCCTACACATAACTCCTTCGGTCTTTTCAGCCTCAGAAACGCCCCAACATACCAAGTTCCCCATCTATCATACTACCTTCACAGTTTCTACTTTTATATTCTTAACAACAACAGTGGCCCTCTGCTATGTTATCTTGCACGTTCAGAAGTAGAATTCTATTTTTTCAAGAAAAGAAAGGATGAACAACAGCAATAGCTTTTTCTTGAGACAGGGTCTTATAAGATAGTCCAGGCTAATCTTGAACTGGCTATACAGACTATGCTGCCGTGAACCTGTGATGCTCCTGTCTCAATTTTCCAAGTGCTGGAACTACAGGCATGTACCACCACACTCCAGAAGGTGGTCTTTTTAGGGTTTTTTGAGGCAGGGTCTCACTGTGTAGTCCAGGACAGCCCTGAACTCACTCTGTAACCCAGGCTGGCTTCAAATTTGCGGTGATCCTCCTGCCTCATCCTCCTGAGTGTTGGGATTACACGCATGCAACACCACACCCAGCTTAAAAGTTATTATTTTTTTAAATCTATTTATTTGGTACAGGGTCTCACTATGCAGCTTGGACTCAGAGTTAACCTCCTGTCTCAGCCTCCCCAGTGCATGGATTACAGGTGTGCGTCATCATGCCCAGTTTTAGTGGCTGGCTCGGCACAGGGCTGGCACAGCATGTGGCACCTGGGATCGAACCTGAGTCCTTGCACTTGCCAGGCAGGTGCTTAGACGACCAAGCTATCTACCTGGCCCAAAATTAAGAGATTTTGAAACAAGAGTTATATATTTGCAACATTACATATGCACAATTTATATATGATATATTAAAACATGCTATTTTAAATTGTTTTTCTTTTCTAATTTTAATAACCTATACCATTCTCTGTATCTGTCCATTGGTAAGATTTTTTTCAATCTTACTATAATTTGTAAATGTTTCACTTAAAGACAAATAAAATGGTTTACCATTGATCCTTCCTGGTTTGAGATACTTCTGTTACTTGTTAGCTCTTTATTCTGAAAAAAGAATAAAATAATTCTGTTACATTACTACAATTCTATGTGGAAAATAATTTTAATAGTAAAATAGAGGGTCATATGAAAGTAAAGATTTGAAAGCTGAACATTAGAGAACAAATCTCACTGTACTCTAAACACGAGTAAAACAAGTCTGCTTTTTCATAAATCATTTCCTTAATGGTGTGTTTACCATTGGGAAGTGGTCACTATCAGTGGGGAAAGTGTTAGTTCAAGCTGCTAAGATATTCTGTACTTGATCTAGATCTACTTAGTTTTTCTTAAATTCATCCCAATGTGTACTTGTGTGTACTTTTCTATGTATGTAATACTGTATACTTGTACACAAATAGTTTGAAAACTTTTTTAAATTTTTACTAAGGATATATATTTCCATTTCAGAATTTCCAGAAGATCGAAAATAACCCTGAGCCTCCCCATCCAGGGATGACCGAATTTATAACCTAACAGGGGCACGTGACAAGGGTTAGGAGAACAGGCATGAAGAAGGAAGGTGTGGCTACTTGGGTTGCATGCTGCTGATGGGTCAAGACCTTTGGCAGGAGCCACAGATCACTGTATGTAATAGCATGGAGCCACTGTACCCTAGATGGTAGCTGTTTTGATGGATGATGGGGGCAAAGGTCTGAGTGCAATAGAAGAACAAGAGATAAATTAGAGACAGGGATCATAAAAGGACTCAGGGTGTTGCTACTCTCGCCTGTACCCCGCTACTCGGGAGGCTGAGGAGTACTGCTACAAGCTTGAGCCCAGCCTGGACTATAAATAAGACCATGTCTAAAGAAACTAAAAAAAAAAAAGGCAAAAGGCATGAAGAAATAGATGATGGGCATTAACACTTCATTATGACTACTGCATATACACAAAACTAACACTGAGAATTAACAAACTTAATACCTTATTAAAATACGGATATAGCATTATTTAAATTGATATCTATATTCACTATGAATTCAATAAACTATTCTAACACAACAGGACAAATACTCACATTCAGCGAAGGAAACACCTGTAAATCACTGTTACAATCTAAGTTTTCAATTTTCGTTGTCCAACAGTCAGTATTCTTGAAATAACCACAAAAATCTTCATCACCACGAAGTTCATGCTTTTGGGACAGCTCCTACCCAAAGTAAAATGTTATAATTTATTTCTACACATCCTTTCCTAGAAGCTAAATAAAACTTAATATCTAAATAATATCACTTCCTTTCCTAGAAGCTAAATAAAACTTAATATCTAAATAATATCAATATTTTATTCAGTTTGGAATACTTTAAAAATGAGGTAAAATAAAATACCAAAGGGAAAAAAGTTTTTAATGTAACCCTAACAATCTAACATTCATAACATTTTAGCCATTCCAATGCATCCAGAGTTAGTAATATTTAATGCAAGTGACTAAGGTACATCACAAAGAAATACTCAGAAAAATAAGACAGAATGTGTCTTGGAGCCACTTCAACTTTATCCTACGTGTAAAAGATTTGACAGAAAGGTGCTGGGGATATAGCTCAGTGGCATAAGCACCTGCCTGGCAAGCTCAAGGTCCTGAATTTGATCCCCGTACCACAAAAAAAAAAAAAAAAAAAAAAAAAAAAAAAAAAAAAAAAAAAACATTTGACAGAGAAAGAAAAAGGCACTTAATAACCAAACCGTAGCAGTAACAGGACTCAGGCACAGCTCTCCCAGCTGAGCTCCAGGGTGGCACAACCTGGGGTTCTAGAACAACAAGCCCAGCACAATCCCTTCCAGACCAGGGATGAACCGGGCTCCCAGGTCAGGGCAGGAGGGACCTTTCCCAGCCAAGCCTCTTCTCCCTTCTCCCACTCACCTCGGCCCGAAGATCATCTTGAACTCACTGAATCTCCTTGTACTCACCAAAATTACAGGTGCCCTATAATGTTCTGTTGAAGTGAAATGTAAATTTCTTTCTCAAGTTAACTTGATTTTCACTTATAGGTGAACCACAGTTCGTTTTATCAATGGCCACTGCAAGTCTGACTTAAGCTCTAACAAGTTTTGTAAGATACAAGGAAATGGAAAGGTTCATGATCTTCTCGGAAAGCATATGCTTTGACTTATTGCCTTGAGTCCCAAAATTCATCTGGGGTGCTTCTGACATCATAATCTCTACTTCATGCCTCCTTATGTGATGAGCTAATAAGTCTTTACCTTGGTAGTTTTCCATAACTTTACATACATGTGTATTCTACTTACCTCTAGATCAGCATAGTCGTTGTGACAGACATGATACTTCAAATACCACTCTATTGTAAACTTCACAGGCCCGGAACAACTGAATGACTTAACTGTTCAGAAAAAAGAAAGTCTCATTTTACAGAAATAATATCTATAGTCTGGTATAAACTTAAGGTTTCAAGAAAACAATGTAAAATAGGACTCTTTAATGTTGAGATAAAAAAACATTACTTAATTTCTCAAAAAGTCACAAGATGAGACAAACTCATTAAATTACAAAGCTAACCAACAGCTGCCATACACTATTCATCTATAAGTCCAATGTCAGACTTGACTGAGTAGGCTGATAGGCTAAGTCACAGCTTGTATCAGTCTAACATACTCTTCTTATTTATACCGAGTGGGTGTGCCAGAGAAGGTAAACAAGAATAACCGCTGCCTTGACCTAAGAGGTATTGGGGAGGGGGACTTAATGAAATAAATGATACAATGAAATAAATAGGTACTTTCAATAGTGCTAAGGGAGACCCAGGCGGGGCAACTAAGATATTCTAGGAGAGCATGCAGAACCACAATGGCAGGCTGGCCTAGGAGAAGGAAAGCAGGAGTGAGCCAGGTGAGGAGGGAAGGGAGCACATGCAAACACACAGGGTGAACACAGTTCACTCTGGCTAGAACAAGGAACGCAGTCTTTATTTTGCACATAAGGCGCCACTACCAAATGTTTCAAGTTCTGGTCAGAAAAAGGGGTTAAGTCTCCCATTATGCAAGCCTGTTGAAAGTATCCCTATGATATGGCGACTGGTTTCCCCCAAGCAACAGTTCAGGGAGGAGCCAAGGAGGAGCCAAGGTATCTTTTATAAAGTAGCCTCAGAAGTGATGTGCACTACTTCTGCAATATTCTACTGGAAACTAAGATCAATTCTGATATAACATGGCTGGGGACTACACAACATGGGTCAGCTACACAGAGAAAGCAAAGAAACCTGCAGCGATTCCCCTGAACCTGTGGCTGAAGAGCAGCCTACCTGTGCATAGGGAGAAGCCAAATGATTCCTAGAGCTGGGGACTGTCTAAGGTTTTCACTAGCCAGAATGTTCATTAAATACACCAAACATTCAGGAAGAAAAATGGTCATAGCTTAAACATGGCACTAAATTAGTCCTGGAGTCAAGGTTACTTCAGAGCTACCCTAAAAGAACCTGTAAAACAAAACTGGGAAGGATCACACTGAGTCACAAGAAATTATCACCTCAAAAAAAAGAAAGAAAAGAAAGAAATTATCACCTCAAAGTTGTGAAAGGACATCACCTAACCTCTGAAAGTAAAATTCATAATATTCATCATCTAAAAAAAATACTGGGGCTGGTGAGATGGCTCAGTGGTCTAAAGCATCTACTTAGAACAAGCTTAGCTAAAGCACAGAGACCATGGTTCAATCCCCCAGCACCACATGCCAGCCAGCCTCGCCCTCTGGTGGGCTGAGCTGGCCACACACACACACACACACACACACACCCAAATAAATAAATAAAATTAAAAAAAAAAAATACTGGACATATAATACACAAAAATTTGTCAAAGATAATGAAATTAGAAGATAAGAATATGAAAACAGATATGCCGTATATGCTCAAAGATATAAAGAGGGGGGCCAGGAGATGGTTCAGTAGAATAAGCACTTGCCTGCCAAGCACAAGGGCCTGAGTTCAATCCCTGGTTCCGCAAACAAAACAAAACAAAACAAACAAACAAATGATATAAAGAAGAATGAAAATACCAAGGAGAAAAGCAAGATGTTAAAAAAAAAAGAGAGAGAGAAAATAAATAAATAAAAATAAAACTTTGGGGCCGGGAAGATGGCTCAGTGGAATAAGTGCATCCTGGCAAGCACAAGGGCCTGAATTCAATCTCCGGTTCCGGAAAAATAAATAAATGAAGAAAGAAAGAAAGAAAGAAAGAAAAGAAAAGAAAAGAAAAGAAAAGAAAAGAAGAAAGAAAGAGAACAAACCCAAGCAAGGAATGGTGGTGGCACAAGCTGTAATCCCAGCACTCAGGAGCCTGAGAAAGGAGCCACCTTAAACTACATAGTTAGAGCCTGTCTCAAAAAAAAAAAAAAAAGGTAGATAAAATCATAATGACATTTTTTAAAGAAGCAATAAAGGGGCTGGGGAGATAGCTCAGTGGAATAAGTGCTTCCCTGGCAAGCGCAAGGGCCTGAGTTCAATCCCCAGTTCCATCAAAAAAAAAAGAAGCAATAAAGTGATCCCCAGCACTGCAGGCCTTGCAGTGCTGGCCCTGCCCTCTGGGCGCACTGAGTGGCCCACCAAGACTAGGCGTGGTGGTACACACCTGTAGCCCAGAGCTGGTGAGGATAACAACAGGAGGATCACTACGGTCCGAGCTGAGCAGGGAGACCCTGCACCATAGGCCTTGCAGTGCTGGCCCTGCCCTCCGGGCGTGCTGAGCAGGTAAGGATGAAAACAGGAGGATCACTACGGTCCGAGCTGAGACCCTGCACCACAGGCCTTGCAGTGCTGGCCCTGCCCTCCGGGCGTGCTGAGCAGGTAAGGATGAAAACAGGAGGATCACTACGGGTCCGAGCTGCACAGTGAGACCCCGTATACCAAAATACATTTTTTTTTTAAAAAAGGCAGCAATAAAATAGCCAGAGAAAATGACAACCCTCTTCCCTGGCAAATGCAAGGGCCTGAGTTCAATACCCAGTTCCAAAAAAAAAAAAAAAAAAAAAAAAAAAAAAGAAAACCCCCAAGACCAAGCAACAACTCCACTTATGAAGGCTAAAAAAAAACAAAACTCTAAAATAAAAGTCATGGTATGAGATTATCAGATTAGTTACTGCAGGAGAAAAGATCAAACTAAACACAAAGAAAAAGAAATATCCAATATGAAGCATCTGATTAAAGGACAGAAATAAACAAATAACAGGCCCTCATTCACCTGTGGGACAATATCAAGTGGTCTAACATACACCTAGCTGGAGTCCCAGAAAGGAAAGAGAAAGATGGAGACAGCTCTAAATCCATGTGATTTATTTTTTCCATATGGACACCCAGTTGTCCCAGCATCCACTGGTAGTCAAGACTCTCCTTTCTCCTGTGAATTATCCTGGCACTGCTGCTGGAAGTCGGTCAACCTTGTGAATGCACATCTGCTCTGGGCTCCCCGCTATGCTCCTTCATTCTGCACAACTGTCCCTGTGCTAGACCTCACCACTGCAACACTGCAGCTGTATGCAAGTTCTGAAACTAACAGCAAAAGCCCTTCAACCTCATGCTTCAAATTGCTTTGGTTATTCCAAATATTTATATTCTTATATAAAAATTTTAAAACATTGAGTAAAAAATTTTAAAACATCTACATAAAGATCTATTTATGGGGCTGGTGAGATGGCTCAGTGGTCTAAAGCACCTACTTAAAACAAGCTTAGCAAAGCAGAGGGACCGCAGTTCAATCCCCCAGCACCACATGCCAGCCAGCCCCGCCCCTGGTGGGCTGAGCTGGCCATACATACACACTAAATAAATAAATAAATAAAATTAGAAAAAAAAAAAAAGTGTAAAAGATCTATTTAGATTTTGGGAGATTAAAATGAATTTATAAATCAATCCAAAGAAAATTGAGTGTGATGCTATAGTTTTTTTTCATATATGTCCTTTATCAGACTGAGAAACTTGTATTTCTACTTTTCTGACAGTTTTTAACATGAATGGGAGTTGAACTTTTTTCTGGCTATACTGAGATAAACAGATGGCATATCTGGTTTATTCTGTTAATACAGAGAACTACACTGAAAGTTTCAACACTAGCTCCACACGATTATATCTTATAGCAAAAGAAGGGTCACCTAAGGCAAAGTCAGACATCTGACCTAAGCCTGTGAGTTTCAGGGCACTAAGCTCTGGGTCTGTAAGAAAAAGGATACTCTGCCTTATATATCCACTACATTTCTGATGGAGATATAGATATGTTCTAAAATACCTGTTTGTTCACTTATTACACACGGCAGCAGTAAGCAGACACGCAGAGACCAACTGACTTCCTCCTTCTGTGGCCTCCCAGGAAGCCCAGTGGTGATGAGAAGGTCCTGAGTGAGCAGGGCATCAGCACAAGGTGGCTCAGGGTGTGCTTCCTGCATACCAGTCAGTCCCAGACATAGCTGAAGTCATGGCTCAAGACCTCTCTCCTAAGGGTGCTGCGAGACACTGCCACCTTCTGACTACAGCCCAGCTGTGTTGTGTGGTACTTCTCTGAAATCCCTTGTGTTGCCCTCTGCTTTCTTTAGATATGCCAATATGTTCATGCCTACACTGTGAGCTACCCCTAGACTGGTCTCAGACATTATGCAACCATTTTAAAAAATCAAATTCTGTATTTCAGTGGCCCGCATTACTCTTGTTCCCCATAAACCCTTTTGTCAGCCCTAGTCTGGTTTAAAGCCTACTTGTCTAGCCTTTGAGACATGAATTCATTAAAGCCAACCTTTTTCCTCATCTACCTAGGACTTCAACTTCTTCTTACCACAAATTACCATAATGATCTACAACATCACAGGCCTTCTCTAAAGCACCTCTGCCTCCTAGCGGTTAGGTGGCATAGCTTCCCTCAGGGAAGGCCCACCAATGGGGGAAACACCTTTATAGCCGCTCAGAGCGAGGTCTGAGAGAGAAAAGGGACATGGCATTAGGTCCTGGGGAGGATTTACCCAGTGAAAACGATCTCTTACTCTCAAACTTTCCTCTGGCAGCCAACTTTCCTACTCAATATACTGGAAACAAAAAAAGGAATTAGACCATAATGAATACAATCCAATGATGACCAATTAAAACTATCAAAAACATTGGCACATACACAGAAAAGACCACACATATCTAACAATACCTTTCTTAAGGCCTACAACTAATTAAAATATTCAGTAATTAGTTCACATTATGGTATACATTTAGAAAATTCTTGGAGCACAAAGGGTTTGCCACAATCATGACATTTCCTATATTCATGAAAAGAATTTTAGCTAATTTTAAAATCTGGGACTCAGGGGCTGGTGAGATGGCTCAGTGGTCTAAAGCACCTACTTAGAACAAGCTAAGCTAAGCAAAACACAGGGACCGGTTCAATCCCCCAGCACCACATGCCAGACAGCCCCGCCCCCTGGTGGGCTGAGCTGGCCACACACACATAAATAAATAAATAAATAAATAAATAAATAAAAAATCTGGGACTCAGAGTCAAATTTCACAGAAAAATACTTCTTTGCTTAAGCCAATTTATTAGACCACAACTGGCTTGTTTTTGTTTTTACAAGACCACAACTGTTACACAGTGAGTCAAATTATATTTTTTGAAATAGGATTAGAAACATTTATTCTTAAAAAAAAATCTATTCTTGAAAATAATTTTAAAAAATAAAAAGAAAATAATTGTCTCGAGTGAAAACTTAAAAATGTTAGAACCACTGAAAAACCAAACAACTGATTAGTTTACTATATATTATACTGTTATATTAGCTTACATTAAATTAATGCATTTGTTTTTAATATAGACGTTATTTACATTAGTATATTATTTCATTATACTTACCAGAAAACTTGATCTCAGTAGAGTTAAACATAGTTTTCCTAAATATCAAAGGTCCTGATTTCTAAAATAAAAAATATTGAAAAATCCTGTTAAAACATTTTCTGTTTGAGTAGCTTTACGGTTCAAAATAGAGAGCTCTTATTTTTGCACCCAGTCTGAGCACAACAGTCATCTTTTAAGATGCAACTCTGATCACATCACTCTTTGCGGCACATCCACAGCAGCAGATATGAAGAGGACAAGAAGGGGCCCTGCCTGAGAGGTCCCCAGCAGTCTCCGGCCCGGCCAGCGGCACACAGGAAAGGGCTGCGGCCAGCGCAGTGACCACTGTCAGACGTGATATAACAACTGTATGCTTACATGTTGCTCTCTTGCTAGCAAAATGAATGCACTTTTGGTAAACAACTCCCTCTCCAAATGTTATGCTTAGCACCATAATCACCACACGCTGAACTGCCTAGAGACTGCACAATCAAGGCCTGCTCACCTCCCTAGCAACATCATTTCATTCCCAAAATGCATGACACTCCTTCCTACCTTCAGGATCTCAGCAGTCAACCTGAACTTGCTTAAAAATCACTTCTCATGCTTTTTCTTCACTTTGGTAGCTCCTTTTTACTCTTCAAAACCCAGCTAAAAAGCTCCTCATGCCCTTGGGTTTAAACCCCAGGAACTCCCGTCTCCCTTCACATGGTCTCTCTCATTTTGCTTCATATCTCTTACCACAGTTAAAATCCCAGTCCTTCCCAAGCATAAAAGTCATGAGAAGAAATTACGCCACTTTACACAGGACAACAAAGCAATGACACCCGAGCAAGGAACACTCCCGTGAGCTCCAGCTCCACGCACCTGTCTGCCTAAGACCTGCCCACCAGCATGGCCAACAGGCACAGCAGACCACCCTGCTAGAGACCAGACAATGCCTCTGCTCTTCGCCAACTCTTCCTACACGGTCTACCTTTAAGGGGAGGCTGTGCAGTCAACCAAGTCATAGCTCTGTTACCTCCATCACTCAATGCCCAACAAATGCCTACCCTTTCCAAATGTGGTTCTTTTTCTCCACTACTGCCACCAGCAATCTAACTCAGGCTCTCTATACTCCTGCTTAGACTTCTGCATCAGCATAACTGGTGCTTCTGCCTATAGCCTATAATTTATCCTCATAGAGCACCCAGCACAATCAACATTTCAGTCAAAAACCCTTTAATAGGTCCCTCATTCACACCCAAAATTAGCTACTAGGTGTAGCTAACCCAATCTATAAGTGGGATATGTCTGGGCATCTAAAAAGTTTTGCCTGCTTAGGCAGACACAAGGACTGGTGTTTGACCCTCAGCATGCTGTGCTGGCCCTGCCCTGGGGCACGCTGAGACGGATTAAGACTGGGCATGGTGGCGCACGCCTGTAATCTCAGCACCTGGGAGGCTGAAAACAGGAGGATCACTACAAGTCCAATCTGTGTAGTGAGACCCTGTAGACCCTGTACTAAATTTTTAAAAGTTTTTTTAAATAAAGTTTTAAGTTAGTTGATATAAAATACGATTTTCAGATTCACTTAAAAAGTGAATGAAAAAAAAAGTGAATGAAGTAGGGGCCGGGAAGATGGCTCAATGGATTAAGTGCTTCCCTGGCAAGCACAAGGGCCTGAGTTCAATCCCCGGTTCCACAAAAAAAAAAAAAAAAAAAAGTGAACGAAGTATTCAACCCTGCCATCAAGTACTCAGCCAGAGCCAAATGTCAGCTGCTGACTGCAGGAGAGATACCCAACTTGTAATCACCTGTCATCCGCAAGATGTGTAATCGGCACAAATCTAGTTTATTTCACTAGCTGATAAGCTCTGCCTCAGGCCTGCAGGATCTGGAGCCCGCGAGCCTTAGGTTCCAGGCAGGTGCAGGTGTGCACTGTGGCCTGAGTGCCCTCGAGCAGCCTGCCAGAACTTCACGCCAAAGAAGTACCTCGAATTTCCTGCACTGCCCTGTTCAACTTCCTCACTCTCTTACCAAGAAACACCTTCTCAATGAGACCAGTCACACCTCTCCACCAGGAAGTGGGGTTAGGCTGGGTCTCTCTCGCACCCCTGTAATATCCTGAGATTGCTCCTATGTATATAACTACACATCAATCCCTTATGGCTACCATTGTGTGAGCTCCCTGGAGAAACGGGCTGGGTCTAAAACTCATCTCAGCAAACAAGGATGGATCTAGTGCATAGCACCCCGTGATGCTCCATCTGCTGACCTTTTAGTCAAAAGAACCATTTCTTGATGAATTTGCAGTACAAACAAAAGAAAACCCCACTCCCTCTTTTGTTATTAAGGTAAAGTTCCAACGATTTGATATGGGGGAAGAAAACACTAGCCCCGTTTTTTGCAAAGAAGGGCTTCACAGAGCACCAGTGGCCCGAGTTGAGTAAAGTTGGAAGTACTTAGCCTAACTGAATTTCCAGCACCTAAGAAACTTCCTTCTGCAAGAACCAAGCACATTCTTCCGTCATGGCCTTTTGGATTCTCACCAACGTAAGTATCCTTGTTAACAAATGATCTTTACACACATGGTCAAGTGGTCAGTCTGCACACTGCTGATTCACTTCCATTGTGTTAGTCTTCATTTATGATATTTGCTAAGGTGTATGCACTACAGAAATATTACAAACACCACTATGGTTTTTAGTTCGGGGTGATTCTATGACTGGAGATGCACAGGTTGTATGTACCTTGAACAGCACAAGGCCAATTCAGAAGAATCCTAGAAGAAACGCCTGCACTGAGTCAAAAAAATAAAGACACCCACACGTGTCCCTCTGTGTAGCTCTTGTACTATAAAAAGCATCTGTAGCTTCCGGTACTACTATTTTTCTCCTTGAGGAAACCAAATATAAACTTCATCTTTAGATCTTGGACATAATTTCAATGCATGTGGAAAATAACCCAAACAGAAATGGATGAGTCATCTGACCCCATCGGGAAGGAGGAGATAATGTCTTTTCCTAGCTCTCCTTTGCAAAACTTTCCATGTCAGCCCCTGCCTTCCTCCCACACAGTCTCCTTTAACTACAGGACGCCAAGTTCTCCATCAGCGTGCCCTAGTAAAGAGTTTCCACCCACCAGTGTCTCCACACACAGCCCGCCCCACCTCCACACCCGGAGTCCAGGAAGTGTGACAGGATCCCTGGAGAAACGCAGGAACCCAAGACGAAGAGAGGTAGGGAGACCACAGAACGGTCCGCCGCGATTAAGGAAAAAGCGGAAGTGGCGCACAAGGTTGCCAAACTGATGCTGCAACACCAGGGCCGGGCCGGACAGTCGTCCCGGGGGCCTCGCAGGTCTGCAAGCACCGGGAGCGACCCAGCCGGAGGGACCGCGCCGGAGCCGAGCGAGGGGCCAGGACTCGGGGCACGGAGGCGCGCGCGAAGAGGGAGCGCTGTCCGTGCTGTCTCCGCAGCTCTTCCTCGAGCCCAGGGCGGGCAGGGCGGGCAGGGCGGGCAGGGCGGGGGGCGCCCCCGCGCGTCGCGCGCAGCACACACAGCGGGCGAGCCCGAGGCCCGGCCCGGGGCGAGCGAGCCCCACGACGCGCCACGCCTGACCCCTCAGCACTTACGTCATTGACCGTCGCCGTCCAGAGGCCGAGCTCGGGGACGGCGTCCACGGCCGCTGGGGCCCAGCACAGGAGGCCGAAGGCCACAAGCAGCAGCCGGACCCCGGCAGCGAAACGGCGGCGCACGGCCATGTTGACGCGGAAGCCGCACCAGGCGCTAGTGGCGCCTGCCACGCCCCGGCCCGCACCTGGCCCAGCTCCGCCCCCGGCGGGCGGGTCCCAGCTGGGAAAGAGAGGCTCCGGCGGGGCTGTAGCGCAGAGCCTAGGCCTCCGCGGGGAGGTGCCGTGCGAGCGTGGAAAGCCAGCCGGGACGTGGAGGCGGGGCTGAGGGCGGAGCCTGAGCCGGGAACTACGGGGAGGGAGGCGGTGTTTGGGGGCGGGGCCCCGGGTGGGCGGGAAAGGGGCGGGGCTATGGGCGGGGCCACTGAGGAAGCAGTGTGGCTAAGTGGATGGACGCTTCACGCGGAGAAGGTCGAGCTGGGCGCAGCGTGGAAGGGAGGCGTGGAAGCCGGGTCCTGGAGGCGGAGCTGGGCTGGGAGGCGGGATCGCCACGTGTGTGAGGGCAGTGGCGGGGCGCTGGGCCCCGACCAGGATGTGTGGCCGGATGAGAAGGCGGAATTCTGGACCCCGCCAGAAGCTGGCATCTGCGGAAGGCACAGAGCTACGTCCAGGCGCAAGTGATCAGAGAAGGCTGTGGATGGAATAATATACACTGAAGTTCTCCTCCCACTTTATAGGCGAATGGGTGCAGCTGGAGACCATACTTATAAGTGAAATCAGATTCACGTGTAAGCGTCGTATTGTCTTCCTAGAGAGGCTGAAAGAATACATAAGATGCAAACGGAAAGAGAAACTGGTATAGGGAAAAGCAAATCATAGTGCCTGCCCTGCCGCGCTCAGATCTGGCGGAACACACCAGGCTTTAAGGTCGTAGAGGTGCCCAGAAAGCCAGGCAGAACAGCTGAACGCAAGACGTTTTGTTGTGAACATTAACATCATAGGACAGTTAATTTTCAGGACGAATAACATTGCCTGGTTGTTAAAAAGCCCCGAGGTAGTAGGAGAGCTTAGATAGATCTTACACTAGATACATACCTGGGACATTCTACTATCAAAATTAAATATAAGTGTTGCTCTATAAAGCAACCAGTTAATTCATTATAAAATGTAAATAATGGATGAGATGAAACAAAAGATCATTTTAGTTGTTCTAAGAAAAGTGTGCTGAGGGCCGGCCAAATAGCTCAGCAGATTAAAGCACCTGCAAGCAGGCACAAGGGCCGGGGGTTGGATCCCGAGGCCTGCCTTGCCTGTGCTGTAATCCTAGCTCTTGGGAGGGTGTAAACAGGCAGATCTCTACCGAGTCTGATCAAGTAGTGAGACCTTGAACACCCTGTAGACCCTTCCCTGATATACAAAAAAATAAAATAAAGTGTACTGAGATGACCAGCCTGGTGGCACACGCCTGTAATCCTGACACTCTGGTGTTGGGAACTGCTAAAGCTGGAAATTGATCCTGTGTAGGAGGGCAGGATGAAGCCTCATTGCCTACAGCAGTCAGGCTGCCTCAGTTTTGAGGAAAACATCCTGCCTGGACCTTGTTAGGCAACCCTGTGTCTTGCAACTTTGTAAAAGTATAAATAAAGGCCCTTGCTAATTTTTTTTTTTTTTCAAAGAGAGAAGAGCATTTTGTTTGTTTGTTTTTGCTGTACTGGGGATTGAGCTCAGGACCTTGTGCTTTCCAGGCAGGTGATCCAGCCACTGAGCTGTATCCCTGGCCCAGGCTCTTGCTATTGTTCAGCAAATGGTTTCGCCAATTAGGCAGAGGAGCCACCACCTAACCCTGATCTTGTCTTGTCTATCTTTTGCTCATTCCTACCCTGGATGCTTCCTGGACACAACCAATTACACTGAGAGACCAAGGGATCTCTATACTCTGGAAAACTATAACGGGAGAATCATGAGTTAAAGCCCAGCCTGGGCAATTCAGTCACTTGGTGAGAACTTGTCTCAGAACAAATACGGTAAACTGGGGATGTAGCTCAGAGCAGAGGGCCTGGGTTCAATCCCCAGTGCCATAAAAACAGCATTAATCAAAAGTGACATGCTGTCATTTGCAGTAACATAGATGGAACTGGAGAACACTGTGTTTAGGGCAAGAAGCTAGGTACAGTAGGGTCAGTACTATGTGTTCTTACTCATATGTGGAAGATAAAAAAGTTGGTTTCATAGAAATAGAAGTGGTCACTAGAGGCTAAGTGAAGAGGAGACGGAAGGAAAAATTGAATTATGGGTTGTAAAGAATGAGAAGAGAAAATGTGAAGGCTCCCAACTCTGAAATAATCATGTTGAAGGTGATGTAAATCCCAATTACTGATTTGATCATTACACACTATATATATATTTTTTTTTGAATATTTATTGAAAAAATATATGTCAATTAAAGTGTTTAAAGAATATTATAATAATTCACATGACAAGTTAAAAATAAGTTAAAATAATTCAGAAATGATGTCCTCAACCACAGAAGCAATCAAGGGAATAATGAAATAGATTTTAGAGACATGAGAATGGAGACTTGAAATGAGGAAGACTTAGTGATCAGTTAGATCACTCTATATTGGAGCTTAGGCCAGAGAAGAATTAAGGCTGGTGCCCAAGTTTCTGCCTAAAGTAAGGGAGATGTGGCACACCAGGGGGAGAAAATTTGAACAAGTGTAGTCCACACTGCCCAGGAGAAGGCCAAAGCGAGTCTTAGAATGGGCAGGCCAAGTACAGAAAAGAAATAGTTGGGACTTTGTAGGTTATGCTAACATAGGTGGGGACCAGTGTCATGGGAGATGACGAGATGACTAAGGCAGACCAGGACGGTGAGAGGAGGGGCAGGTGCTGGAGGCCAGATCCTGGGAACAGAGGCCCACGGCAAGCAAGGACTGGAGTACAGCTATCCCTCGTGTAACGCCCTTGCTGCTTAGTGACTGTTCAGACTTACAACCCGTCCTTTCATACAGTTCTGTACATCTTGTTGATAGAGCCTCTGTGCCTCTTTTGGGTACAGTACTGAACCTTCTTTATACAGTGCTGTAGTTCTTGCTGATTGTACTATACAGCATAGCACTACAGTTTTATGTTTTTTCTACATTACACTACTGCATGTAAGAGTCACAAAAGCAAAGTCATGAGGCTGTAGGTTTTTCTTTCTTTTTTTTTTTTACTGTTTCCTTGTTCAGAATATTGTACTGTATGTACTGTAAACAGTTCCTCATTTATTGACCAGTTCAGTTAACAACCTACTTGCAGGACTGGAACGCTGTTGTTGAATGAAGGCCTGTAGCCTGCTATAGTGTAGATACACACTCACTAGCATGTCATGCAAATAAGCACAGCATTCATGGAAAGACAGATGTCTTCCAAATATGTCTGGAATGTCTGATACTGGGCACAGAGAAACTATCTGACATTTTTTGCACTTTGAAACAAAAACACATATATGGTTTGCCTGTTTTGAGACAGAAGGGAGTGGTTTGGAGCAGGGGCTTATGGGACCTATTGATCATGTCTGATACAGGCAGAATAGCTGTGCCAAAGGGCAGAAAAGTGTTATCGGTGCACATGAGCTCACTTCTAAAGACTATTTGCTTCCTCCAACAGTCCCTCAGGTCATCATAAAACCTGATTCATTTGGAGTTAACTAAATTCTTGTATATAAACAAATTCTTTAGAAGTGATGTTACCTTTGAAAGTTTTTGATACATAGAAACGTCTCATTTCATATGGATGCACTTATTTTCTCAAGAGTCATACATATACTTCTGAACCACAGGCAACAATTAAATGACTAATTATCACTATTTTTTTTTTTTTTTTTTGTGGCCAGTTGAGCCCACCCTGGAAGCAGGGCTGGCACTGGCATTTGATGCCAAAAATGGAATTGCTTTGTCTGTGCACTCACTTAAGCTTGCCTAAGCAGGCACTTTAGACCGCTGAGCTATCTTACTGGCCCCAGTGATTGTTTTGTGTGTTTAATTTTTGTCTTACACTCCTGCCTAATAAGCTACTTCAGATATACTTTATCGGTTGTTCTAGCCTCTAAAGTATTTACTGCAGAGGTGGATAGAGCTTTGTTTTCATTAGTGCCAGTTTCACAATCAAGGACATTTGGTATTTCTGGTGATTTTTATGGAGTCTGGCAAGTTCATGGTTCTGTGATATCTTATTAATAATATTTTCGTTGTATTGGTTCTTTGCAATGACCTGCAGAAGTGTCTTCATTGATGAGCCAAAATTGCATATTCAA